GTTTCTCACGATAGACCATTAATCACAGAAACACCATATTCCAGAAACGCGGATAATATGCATGATAAACAAAGTCTCCCGTTCTTCTTGGCCTGTCAACTTTTCAACCTTCGAACCTTTCGTTCAAAATCTCCCCTGCCTTGCCTAGAGAGAACTCACAGGTCTTCGCAATGCAGGTATAATGACAGCTTCATGTAATGCCAGAGAGGCGCCCCAAGGCACTCGGACGATAAAAAACACAGGTCGTTCGAAACTGTGTCGCCTGATCGCCTCTGTTTACAGTACAAGGTTTGGATAACTCAGAAGGAGGAAGAGGTTCATCATCAATGTTACCATTCGGAGAGCAACAATCGTTTTGTAGGATACTTCAGAATGAGAATAAATCAGGCAACATCTTCTGAAGAGTATCGTATTTGAATCCTAATAACTGTCTTTGATTGTTGTATCTAGGGAACGCTAAAAATGTGATCAAGGTCAAGTTTAGTATTCCAAAGTTCAGTCAACAAGCTCTTTTTTCCAATTAAATATCAGGAGACAATTGGCCGCAGGGAGCAAGCAGTTCTTGCAAGAATAAGATCTGAACATTCCAAATTAGGCAATCTTTACTTATTGCAAAAATCATCTCCCCCGACGCATGAACTTTGGAATACGTAACTTGACCTTGATCACATCTTTAAAGCGTTTCTTAGATACAACAATCAGATACAGTTATTTTGATTAAAATACGATATAATTCTACTCTCTTCAGAATATGAAAATAAAATAATCAATTTTTGTAATGAAATGCTATGAATATATGAACTGAAATTTAACCCCTTTGTTTTATATAAATTTATTCCTCCAAAATATGATTTAATAATAGTTAAAGTATTTTGTAAAGTTGAATTGTAATTTTGTTTTGGTCAAATAATTTCTGTAATCGCACTATTAAGTCATACAATTCCTGTAAAAGTCGTTAATAACTATATATATTTTTTAATTTATGAGGTAACTGGATCAACAAGGCTAACGCCTCGCATATTGAAAATGATCCCAAGATATTATACTTTTAAGTTTCCATGAATTCGTATAGCATGCATATGAGAAAAAAATCAATTGAATATGAGACAAAACAAAGTTTGCAACTGGTGTGAAAGTGTCTTAGACGCGCTAAGAACTCTGTTCCTATCGGCGCTTCCTCCGTCAACATTAAATTTGTACGCCAAAGACTAACTTTTTTACTAGATAAATATGTTACTATAAATATTTTATTATAATACTAATTACTAATTATCCAAATCAATACAAAATAAAATAGAAAATAATTTTGATGTGGGAAAAATGTTAGTCATGTGTTTATTATAGTGTAAAAAAGTTGCACAAAAATGTAAATAAACTTGAATTAATGTAACTATTAATTCGTTAATAATACTGAGGAAACGTTAAGAATAAGATTTTCATTGAGCTACGACTTAGATGTCTACGAATTGACGCGACACAACATGTTAATTACCCGAAACCACAACACAATGTGGAGTATAGGAGTAGTAAAAAATGCGCGGTATATTAGCACGACGTAGACACCAAAGTGCGAGTACCGGTACGTTACGAAAAAGGGAATGTGTTTTCCAGGAGCCGAGCGTTTACTGCTTTTGAGTATACAGAGCCCCGTTCATCGCACGGAACACTGGAGCGACCCCCGGGAACTAATAAACGCAGCTTTTGCCATCTAACAACAAACAGTCCATTGTGCGACGGGGGCCCAGCTCAAAAAAATTGTACATCGGAGGCGACGTTCGCTCAACGGCGAGTGTCCTCTATAAAAGCAAGTGCTCTACTCTTTTAACCGAAACAACGAGGGTAATTTTTCGTGGGCGTGGCTCATAGTTGCTTCCATTACGTGCCTATATGAATTTCCGAATCGGCTGGAATGGCTCAGCGGGGAAATCAAGCCCGTGTGTGCGTGTGAAATTCCCCGAGGTGGCGTTCGGCGTCGTCAGATTGCGTGGGGGTACGCGACCGTGTACGCTTTGGCCCCAAATGACCTTCAGCTCTCGGCTGACTTTCCTTTGTGACAACAAGTCTCTTTCAAAGTGGTGCGCACGGCTTACTTAGGATGCCGCATCGTGACTCGTTATTGCCACTATCGGAATTATTACGATTTTTATCTATATTGTAATTTTTTCTCATCATAGACAATCAACAATTTTTGGTTTTGTCCATCTTATGACGAGGTCAAAGAGTAAGCATAAAACACGGTATGTAAAATACAATCAGAATTTCATGCAAGTTTTGAGAGATTATACGCAATATAAGTGAGATGTTCTTGTCAGTAATATTTCTACAATTGATTTAGCGAAATCGTTGAGGAACAGCAAGAATAAACAATTATGAATTAATAATATTTTGTGCATTGTACTTTAATGATTTGCACATTTTGTACTGTTTAACGTACATTATGTTTAAATTAAAAATGAAATTATTAGAGAGATATTTTAAGAAAAATTGTTAAAAATATTTTAGTGTATTTTAATAAGATCAGAAAACTAATACAATTAAAAGTGAAACCACTAACGTGTAGTACTTTATAGGTAATGCACAGAAAAACTTCCGTCTGTCGTTTATCGTTTTGGAACAAGTTTCAACAGGAAAGTGACAGCATCTGCAACATACTGCCTGTTTTACTTCGGTTACATATATTCTCTAAATTTCTTAACTGTAAAAGCTTTGTGCATGATCTGAATCTTCAGTAATACATCCCCGAAAGTTAGCTGGGGAATATAAGGTACCTAAGTACTTATATTTATACCGTATAATAGTCTGTAAGTACGAGTGGTTTGTATATAATTTGTAACTTTCTGTGTAATTTTGATAATCAAACAATTGAAAATACTTTTTTGTATTATCGAGACCAACAATTCAAATTTAATATTTCGCTCTTCTCACACGATCGACAATTGTATTACTACCTTTATAATATTATATAAAATATCCCCATAATTCCAAAGCAGTGATTTAAGAATAGAAAACTTTTAATACATTAAATTCTAATACATAAAAAGTTGAAGATTATGAGAATGAATAAAACATTCCAAGCAGCAGACGAAATCAAAAGAAAGTAAAGGAGATTTCAGGTTTAATCAAATTGCTGCTTTCGACGGTGAAAAACGCGTAATTGCATTCTTCAACTACCAATAAAAACTCTACAAATGGAAGCATACAATTATCTCTTCTATCTCGAGAGCATTTTATTATAGTGGGAAAAAAGTGGAAAAAGACGTCAGCCACAGACGTACATAGAGTAGGCTAATATACACAATTAATTTTAGAATGTTGGCAACGGTCTACGAGGCGCATCCAGAAAGCAAGTTTTCCTTGGTCGTCTTCACAAAGTTTGAGGTGTTTCAGCATTCACTCTTTAGTTCTGTGTTCGCCCCAGTGATTTCAATATTTTCTCATACCTCAATAAATGTATATCCGGTGAGCGTTACACGTATTACAATGACAGAAACTTGAAGGTGTCTGTCAAACCTACCTCAAGCGGTTAACTTTTACACCACAGGCATACAACTTTTATTACTTTGTGTCACATATCTCGAATATAGTGGAGATTATGTTGAAAATTAGTGCAAAATTTACTAAAATGATATTTTCCCATGAAATTGTTTTAGTTTTGTTGACGACCTATAGAAACGTACTTTTTGTATGCGACTCGAACATAGGAATGCTTTATTAGATGCGATTCTAACGGAGTACGTGGAAAATTGTAACTAACAATATGGAACAAATCACTGTTACAAATTTTTTAAATCCTGACAGACCAAAAAAATTGAGGCACCCATCCTCTGTCCCTTTCGCTGATGATATCGTTAACACCTCTTAATCTCATGAGACTCTTTCACAATTTCAGGTTGCGAGAACTGTAATATAGAAGAGTATTAATAAAACGTATGTCTATTTTTTAAGTATTGTACTTTTTTTATTATCTTTTAGTTATTTATTGGATTAAGGTAATGGCTTAATTGCATTAATACACATAATATAACTTCAACTTACTTTTCGTCATATGAATATAAAAACAAACATGAAAAGTTTTTAAAACATTTTAACAAAGATTTATAAAAAAGATGAGCAAAATTGTTTTAAAAATCTGCAATGAAAATCACTTGCTCAATATAAATTTTTATCTCATTGCCAGGATAATAAGTTAATTTGTTTCTTTAAATGAATTTCTAAGAAACAATATTTACTAAATTACAGTTAAATCTGGAAATTTTCGAACGAATTAAAATACTAACCACAACTAATTCTTTAGCAAGTTTCATTTAGTTTGCACTTAGAAACATCTCATTACATTTAATTACGCTTAAACAAGCGAAATTCTTCATGAAAAGAAATCTATACTAATGTTATTCTCACTTAGCCACTTAAACCGTTTGAAAATCTTCTGTCGTATCAAATTACAATGTAAAACTGAACATGTATTTATTTATAAATGATTACCAAAACTTACATCTACAAAAATTCACAATTATGTAGAAATATATTAAAAGTTTGTAGTGTTTTTGAAGGCGTGTGAGCCAGGTTCACCGTCAGAGCAGGAAAACTTCAGACAGACCGTTTCTGTCATCGCGTGGCCAAGGCAACTCATTCACAAACATCACCACCCCTGTGTCCCAGCCATCACCATCGCCACAGCCGATACCATCGTTAATATCGCAACGACCACTTCCGCCTCCACCGTCGACGTCGCCCCAACGTCACCTCCGTTAGGAATAACATCGCTCCTGTTATTGGTGTCAACGCTATCCCGCCACCGCCGCCACCGCCGCCACTGCCATTGCCAATGCCACCGCCAAGGCCACTACCACTGACTCTTGGTGCCACCGCTAACTCCACCGCCAACGCCACCGTCGCCCACGCCGTCGTCACTGTCGCTCATGCCCATTTCATCCCCACCACCAGCACCAGTGTCACTTGTGTGATGTCAAAGCCATCTTCACCATCTTCACCACTATTGCCTACGTCATTACCACTGGTGCAACGGTATTCGCATCAATATCACCAATGCCATCGCCACTGCTACCGCCATCGTCATTGCCTCTTCCATCGACACTGCCACTTCCAGTACCATCGCCATTGCCACTTCCACTACCATCGCCATTGCTATTGTTATCGCCATTCCCACTGCTAACCCCGTACACCATCGCCGACGCCATCGCCACGTCCACTGGTTCCAACGCCTTCCCACCACCATCGCCACCACCGCCACCGTCACCGTCATCACCAACCCCGCCGCCGCCGCCCCCCTCAAAGCGGCAGTAAGCTATCAAAATGCACGCGTGGAAATACTATAAAGAGGCTTTAAAAATAATACCGCGGCGCCGGAACGCCGAAACAAATGGCGCATTTATAGAAGCGTCCGGGTTGCACGCTTGGTCGCCGGCGCAGCTTTTTCGAGCCCTGCAATACAGGGCATACCGATATGCTCCAACCACTGCACATTTGGTGCAACCCATATCGGATTCAAGTGGTAATTTTATTAATTTATTCATCACGGTTCTCATAGAGAGTGCCGTGAAATTACGTGGGTGTGCCGCAAACATTATTTTATTAGGAAAATATGAACTCTATGAATTGTAAGACTGAAAGCCCCCACAATAATTGTATTATAAGCACATCAATTTAAAATGTTTATTCAATATCATATTTTTTGGAATTTATTGGGAAATGTGAGCTCTGACTTTGCGCAATACTAGTTCAATACGGAGAGAAATTGAAAAAAATGTACCTGCAGTTCTTCATCCACAAAAAAAATCACTCCTGTACTTTATATTTAACATGAAGAAAAGATTAAAATTTCGTTCACATAGATGCAAATTTCGTGCACATAGGTGCAATTACAAGGTTGTCGGAATCTGAAATAGCACAGACCAAAGATTCCGTGCATTTTAATTCGGAAGAGAAAACAGTTTGATTCTACAATACGGATGTGTCCAATGTTCCATGACGAAAGTGTGTGCCGCGAGCCAAAAACATGTGAGAAACAATCCGTGTTGTACATACCTATAAAATTATTTTGTTCTTTCGGAGACAGAATAGCAGAAAATGCCGAAGGAAATCAACAGGGAGAACAGTTAAAGTTTACTATTATAATATATGATGTGTTGTGTATAGATCTAAAGTACTATATAACAGCATTTTTCAAAACTTGCTTCATTTATATAGAAAAATTATGTCTGATGATCGTATAGTGATAAATTGAATTTAATGATTTATTAGAACAGTAGTACCTGAAAATATCACTCTGTTTGATGTGGAAAACAAATTCCGACTTATTACACTTTCGCGGTAACTTCATTGAAATTTAATTTTCAGAAATCAAACATTCAAAGTTCTTTATTCACAAATAATGTACTTCATTGTTATCAAATACATTATACAATTATAAAATTACAAAATAATATTATTTTCTTGTAAATATACTGCCATAAAAATATGAGTTCTCAAAGTTTTACTAGTACGGAATGAAGCATACGTTCTTGGAAAGTAACTGATAACTCCTTCTTGCTTTTGGTTGTTTGTTATCAAAATATATTTTCTAAGAATCAGATCGACACTGTAGATAACACCTCCTTTCGCAAATAGGCAAAAAATGGAGGTATACAAATGTGCACACAAATTATCAGTTTTGTTACAATCTCGGCCAATTTTTCTCTATATGTGTGTGAAATGACTTATCTGTTGAGAATCTATTCCTGAAGGTTACTTATCAACATTCCAATAAAAGAATCTCACTACAAATAAACACACATCTGCCTTTGTAGAGAAACTTTATTGAGACCTTTGGATGCACACATGATACTCAGTAAATTTACAGAATTATAAAAGGTCGCGAATACACAAATATATCTGAATCTTTCGTTTCCTAATTCATTACTATTTTACTTGAAATGATGTTTAATCGCTTATTTCAGCCAGAGGAAAAATTTTGAAGGTTTTTAAACATCCATCGATTTTAGATATATGAAATATTAAACTTTAAATTCTCTGTAATCTCTCCGGAATATATTTGGGAGACATACCGCACTCGTGATTCATAATAAATAATTCAATCCTAATCCTTCATTTTATTACACTAATGTGTGTATTTTGTTTCGTATTTTAGTTTCTTTCACTATATATTAGTAAACTATTAATTTCTCGTAGTACTGAATGAAGAGACCAGGGATGGGCGCCATGCAGTAAACTTACACGTTAATGGAAAAATAATAAACAATATAGAAAATGAAGAAACTCTCTCTGTTTATTGTATATGCTAAATGCTGATCCACTCCACAATACCAGTAAAAAGAAGTATTCTCAATATAATAAGAACGATGTGAAATATATAGTACTACAATTGCAATTCCGAGCCTTCCTGTATATGGCACGAGTTCAATCGCTATAGGGAACGCCGAGGGAGACATAACTTCAACGGCAGAACGAACGCAGCGTCAGAGCAATTAAAAATGATAAAAATTTATGTTTGCGACTCGAGTAATATCGTATTCCGAACGGAATGGCAGTGTGTTTCGTTCAATTTAGCCTTTCTATAGGGAAACAAAACAAGAACCCGGCCTATAATGACGCACTGTGCGCGCATATAGTTTCATAACATGCTGCAATCACCAATAGGCTGTTAAGAACCAATAACTAAACATCAATGTTTACTTGTAATGGGCGTTTAATTAACAGTACAGTATGAAACAAACGACTATTAGAATTATTCTGTTAGCAATAGCCAATTTCTCAGAATTTATTACTGTTAACATTAATTACAGCTCTAAACATAAAAACATAATTGAATTCTGAACAAATAATTGTTAACTATAAACGTTAAATGACAATATGAAAGTCTAAAAAAAATTTAATTTAATTTCATTTCCATTTTTTATTTAACATTTCATTTTCAACAATTACTTTTCAATTTATTCATTTTTGTTTACAATAAAATGACATTCTACTGTCTGCAAAGACTTTTCTTCGTCTATGTAATTTGGCGAAAGATAAGTTTCATCAAACTGTAATACAATGCCTGAGTGTGTAATCCTCCGTCCCCTTATTACTTTAATTATTAACGTTAAACGATATTCGTTTTCGTAATTATAAAATAATCATTTTCTACTTTTTCACTCTGAATATCGACTTACATATTTTTAACATCCAGTCATCTTTCCTTCTTAAGCGGAGGTTGGAAAAATTTTCATGCCTTCTAAAAAACCATCTAAAAATGAATACCCCTCGGCCTGGAGAAAGCTTCGTACAGACACACAGCCCCCAGCGCTAGTAAGGACGTCAGAGAAGGCATCCTTTCTAGTTAACGCAGTTTCTCCGCCGTTTATTACGCGGCCGAAACTTCTTACAGCTGCTCCTGAGCGAAAGTTGGGTGGCGCAGGGCGAGGGCGGGCGGGGAGCGGGCGAAAGGGGCGGCGGGCGATAGTGCGGAGGGGAGTTAGAGGCCGTTCGCGATCGCGCGATACCGATCAGCCGGAATGAGGTGTCAGAGAGCCGCCTAATCCAAGCAGCCACAACCTCCGCCCAACCACCATCGCTCGTAACCGCCACCGCACACCGCCACCGCCACCGCCGCCGCCACCGCCCGTCCCTGTCCCCGTCGCCGTCGCCGTCGCGTCCCGTCCCCGTCCCCGTCGCCGTCGCCGTCGCCGTCCCGTCCCGTCCCCGTCCCGTCGCCGTCGCCGTCCCCGTCGCCGTCCCCGTCGCCCGTCGTCGTATCCCCGTCCCCGTCGCCGTCACCGTCGCCGTCGCCGTCACCGTCGCCGTCCCCGTCCCCGTCACCGTCCCCGTCACCGTCGCCGTCCCCGTCACCGTCGCCGTCCCCGTCGCCGTCCCCGTCCTCGTCGCCGCCTCCGCCCTCGTTGGCTCTCCTGTCCCCGTCGCCGCCTCCGCCCTCGTCGGCTCTCCTGTCCCTGTCGCCGCCTCCGCTCTCGTCGGCTCTCCTGTCCCCGTCGCCGCCTCCGCCTAAGCCCTCGTCACCTCTCCCGTACCCATCGCCGTCCTCTTCGACGTCCCCGCCCTCGTCCCTGCATGCGGCCGTCTTTTCCAGCGGCTTCGTGATTCGAACCAGAGATTTTGGTGCGCGGATACAAGGTACAGCTGTTATCGCAAATTTCCAAATGGTCTCCGAATTTCTGATTCTTCTTCCACAGTTTCACAGTCACTGTTAAAATGAAGCATCTGAACGGCAAGAAATATTCAATTTTACTTTGATGATGTGTCGTCAGTGTCTATTGACCTTCACTGGTGTCAATTCAGGACCCTAACATTTCAAGTTACCTAATTTCTGATTGCTTTTTTAAATTGCGGTTAATTATCAATTCAATAAAATATATTTATAGAGTCAAGAGCACGACAAAAAACACGAAAAATATAATATAAGAATTCAAATACCAATGGAGAAATTACGTGCTTTAAATGTAGTATCAATAATAAAACAAATGATTAATGTAAATAAAATTAAATGCATTATATACAATTATAACTATGTGATTAAATCACGATTCAAAGAAAGGCGTCTTTTGATAAATTATGGAATGAGGTTCAGGGCGATTAACTCATTTTAAGGCATTCAGAAAGACAAACGAGAAACAAGGGTAAGTTGGAGAAAGGAAACGCAGATACTGAGTTTTCTAACTCCTCTTGGCGCTCGTCGAGAGCGATGCAGGATGTTCCCCTTTATTCTCGCGAGCAGAGGAAATAAAAGCGGTGAGCTGAATTGGGGTGAGGTGGTGAGTGCTGGTAACCAGGAGACGGGCACCACGCGGAAACGAAAAGCAGGGCGCGAATACAACAGATAGGGAAGAAATAGGATGTAATAGTGGCTACAAAGGAAATGAAAAATATACTAAAATGAACGGGCGGGAATGGAACAAGAACAGGGATGAAATGCGGGTGGGGACGAAATAAGTTCAGGACAAAAGCGACTAATTAGGAGCAGGGAGAATGGAGGGTGAAAGATAAAGGAGGCCAAATACAGCTGAGACAAAATAAAGACAGAGATGAAATAGAGCGGCTCAATTTTATTTAAAAAATTGGACAAGAAAGATATCCGACAAGGAGTGAGCATGACGAATCAACGTATCAATGTGGATCAGCACCAAAGCAAATGCTGTTGGGAGGGTAAGGATGTTTGTACACTACGGATTCGACGTGAGGTAGGTTTCAGTAATAGGCTGGGGGAATGTCACTGCGTTAAAATGAGGTTCAAAAGACGTAGAGTAATAGAATCACAACGTACAGTATAGTGCAATTTGCTGGAAGTATGCGTTTTATTTCGTCAAAACGAGAACGGACGCAGAACCTGAATCGCAGTGACGCTCGTAGTAGCAATGACGTTGACGAACAAAACCTTTGATCATGTGACTACAAGCTTAGCGATAGAGTAGCGAAAACTGAGAATCACTCCCTCGGAGTAGCATGTTGGTGGCACTGGAGCAAATTTCTGAGGTCCCATGCTCATAAGTCTTCTTTATTTTGATTTACACTAAACTACGTAGTATAAACCAAGAAACAGTTGTAGTAGTATATTATATTAAAAATACGGCGAAAAAAGACCAGAATCAGCATTGAAGACAGCTGTTTTTTGATAAATTCAGGTTGAACGTTTTTTGGTTTAAAGAGAGTTTATGAGATTTAAATCAGAGTTTTTTAAAATAACTGTTTTTGTTTTCACTCGAGTATTTATTCTACAGCAAAGCCCGAATGGACATAGAACGAACTGTTCGATTCAAATTTTTTGCTTATTCTCTGCTGGGGGGATGGGGTTAGTTGCTCTTACTTGAAGCACAATCACAGTAGTTTTGGCGTGTTTTAATTTGACCCATTTCCTCCAACAGTTTTTGCGTAATACTGTAGTCACCCTGCGGAAAAATTCAGCGCCCATCAGTCAACGCACTTTGTCGCTCGTCCCACGGATAATACACACGAACAGACAAATAATGGGGCTTGGCGACCGGCGAGTATTGTAAGCCCGTGCTCGAGTATTATAAGCGGACTGCTTCGCGACTGCTCAACTTTATTCAAGATCATTAAAAGTTCACTAAAAGACATACGACGAAACACTAGTGCATAACAATCCTTAGTGATTTTATAACTTAACTAAAATATTAATTTCAAAAAATCATTTTTTTCAAAAAGAGAACAATTAAAATAAACAAAAAAGCATGTGGTTAAAGATTATTTATTCAACAACATTGCAATTTTGTCCACCATCTCCTGTAAAATTTATTTTTCTCAACTGAAGTCGGGTTGCTTTTTATACGTTTCTCTATTTTACAACATTACAACTACATGATCATTTTTCAGACTTTCACTAATAAACCACCATACATTCCTTCTCTCTTACTAATTGCAACATGTACTTATCAATTTATATTCATTCAGTATCATTCGCCAAGCCAGGCGAATCGTTTCCACTGCTCTACAATACAGAGCAGGTTCTTTGGGCCGGGTTTGGAATAGAACTGAGAAGACGCGGCAGGCGCCGGTGGGCGGAGTTCCGCGGAGGTAGCAGCCCCTGCGGCGCGGCTGGCGGACCGCTCCTCCGCCCGCGCTCTTTGACGTGCGCGCCCGAGCGCATTCTTGGGCGGTGTGCGGGCGAAAAGGCGCGGGGGGGGGGGCGGGGGCGGTGCGGCGTCCGCTAATAACGAGGGGGACCTGATCCCGCCCACTGCCGCTTGGACCGAAGAAGCGCCCACGCCGCGCCACGGCCCGCCACCTCGTTCCGCCCTTTTACCGGCATCGCCACTTTCCGTCACGCCCCGCCACCACCCCCCGCCACCACCACTCCCCTGCCCGCCCATCCCTGCCCCTCCCGGCCCCCGTTCCCGTTTCTCACGCGTCATGTTGCGCCCAAGCAATCCCTACCCCCAAACCGTTCGCATCCATCCTTCCCCATCCTCCCCCTTCTCACCCTGCTCTTCTCTGTCCCTTCCCGCCCCACCCTAGCCCGTTCTATCCCGTTTTCCCCTAACCTGTTCTCTCCCACCAGATTCTGAATAGCCGCAACGTCATCCCTCTCCGACATGCCCCATCCCTATTCATCCCTTCTCTCCCGACACGAACCTTTCCGTCCCAACCCTCCTCATCCTATCCCGTCTCTTCCTATCCCTTCACGCCACTGCCATCACGCTCCACCAACCTCCTACCTCGTCCCGCCTCAGCGCCACACCCCGCCTCGGCGGCGGAGTGCCGGTCCGACACCGAGCGGCGGAGCAGCCAAAGGGACTGCGGCGCGTAAAAGGGGCAAGACGGGAGGACAGCAACGAGGAACTGCGGTTAAAGAGAACGACCATTGCACGGTGCGCTCTGTATCACACCATGAATGGGATTCTCTGACGCATGGCATTCAATGAATATACTACGTTGACAAATACATGCAGCAAATACTATGGGAAAATGAATGTATAGTGGATGTATTAGTGAACGAATCTGAGAAGAGGCAAAGCACATTTAATGTAGATATATAGAGAAGCGTACTAAAAAGCGACTCTGACTGAAGTGACTCTTACTGAGGTGTGTTGAGAAAGAAAAATTTTGCAAGTGAAGGTGGATAAAAGTGATGATTTGGGCTGGTATTGAACTAAATAATGAATTTAGGAACCCTGACACAGACAAATAAGAGAAGAACGAAATCTACTTGGCGTGAAGGAAAAGAAAGATGAAATACTTCCATGGAATAAACAAACAAACAATAGAAATATAATTAATGATCAAGATATGTTCTGCCTTGTAAAAAAAGCATTGGGAAAATGAAGAAACGCTGAGATACTACTAGTACAAGGAAGGAACGATCCTCGACCTTTTAAAAAGATTCAACCAAAAGATGAAGCAGTCCAAATGGAAGTAATCTCTGCAGCAGTCAGCCTTGCCGCTTGAATTAGCGCTGATTTCTGGGTCAAATACCTGCGCGCAAGGTCGCGCGCGCGAATCGATGAGCAGCAGCCCCGTAAGCGGGCGAGGAGAGGGGCGGCTGAAGCGCGCACGAGCGCCCGCGCGGGGGCGACCGTCACAAGAAAAGGTTGTGGACAAGGGTTGGGTGAAGTGCTGAAGAGTAAAAAGGGAATGCTGTAGACTCGTAGTTGCCACTAGTTCTTCGATCAATACACTAGGTTTCTGCCGGAGTAGTACCTTAACAAATGGGACACAGATCGAGGACGATTTTTCCTTCGTCATCGTTGACACTTCCTTCCCATTTACATACACGCGTGCATGTATTATACTGTTCCTCTTGTCGGGAGAATAAGCTTTTAGTGTTTCCAGGCGCGTCAGTTACTTTGGTCATTAGTCTCTTGAGTGGATGTGATACCTGGCAAGAGGCGGGGTTTCCGTTTTCGCTTAAATTTGATATCCGGCGCCGACTTAGACTTCGACTTACAGGGAACGTACTGTCGGTATCCTTCTACGACACTGCGGCATGCTATTATCATGGAGCGACGGCGCGACCAGTGCTTCCGCGACCAGTGCATCGCTTCTGTACAGCAAGTTGTAAAGTTTATTTAGGCAAAGCATTTTGTATCTACAATGTGAAGGAGGGAAAACTGCCAGGGAATGACATCGTTAACTAAAGTTATATGGCGTTTCAAAAATAGCATTAAAATAGAAAATCAATTTGTCGGATTTATTCCCTAATGTCTATATCCTAATGTAAACTTAACATACAAAGATTGTCTACTTTGGATGGCTTTTTTCTATATTTTCCTACATAATTTTCATAATTGTCTGGCAGTATTGGAGATTTTTACGCAACTAAGCGATTACTTACGTCAGTGTTACTGTATTTAAATCTTGCTACAGAGGAAAAACACAGTTGAGCTCATAAGGTATGAGGCCGGTGTATTAGAAAAGGTAGGAAACACGGCAATAATGTGAATTCAAGGGATTGCGACTATTACCAAACTCCAAACGTCTAATTGATTGAATCATTTAAAATGTAACTTAATTTACATTAATAGTTTGTGTATTAGTCATCTAATTCGGGTGTAATTCTATGACCTGGTAAGCAAAAAAAAATTTGATTCTATCACGAGGACTCTGGAAGTGGAGGAAGTGACGAGACCGCATGGTGGAGGGAGCGTGGTGGGAGCGTGGGGGGAACGTGGGGGGAACGTGGGGGGAACGTGGTGGGAGCGTGATGGGAGCGTGGTCAGAATAAAGCCGCAGCAAGATCGGAGCAGAGTGGGGGAGAAAGAGTACATGGGTCAAACGTAGGAGAAAGAAATCCAAAACCAGGGGGAATAAGAGGGGTGGACAAGAGTGGAGGCAAGAGTGGAGGTAAAACTCAGAACAGATGCAAAGAGTTGTCGGAACGGGTGCGACGAATGATCAACACAGGGACATCCCACAAGAGCCTCGCTAGAGCGAAACGCAGGGTCGGAGCGGTCGAAGAACGAAGGAACATAGAAGAGACCCGCGAACTGTGACGGGGCTGTACAGCAGCCAGTGCCCGTAAGCCCCGGAGCTTACGACGGCGGCGGCCGCGTTCCCGGCCGTTCCGGAAGCAATTGAGGGGCCGCGCGTCGAGCCCCGGCGAGCGCTTACGGCGCGCGCGACAATGAGAGGGGTGCCGTCTCGGAGGCGGCGCGCTGCGTGCGCGGCATTCGCAACGCACAAATGCATGCAAAGTGCCCCGTCCACCGATTTCGCGCTTGATCGAACTCGAAGAAACCGCGCGAAACGCCGCCTCCCTGCGCCGCGCCACCGACGCGAGATAGCGCCAGTCGTTCCATTCAGGCGGGGGACCGCCAGGTAAAACACCGTTCTTAAATGGCTATTTGTGCACGCTTGTGTAAATAAACGACTTTTTATCAGGGAATAACAGACGGTGATCGTAATATTAAACCGTTTTTCGAACATTCACGAAAACAATAAGACAATAGGCAGAATAAGTGATAACTGCTCTTCTGCATAGAAACAATGTCCATCAGCTCTCATGTCAGCCTCATGCTTAAATAGGTATTTGTGCAGACTAGTGTAAATAAACAACTTTTTGTCGATGAATAACATACAGTGATGGTAATATTAAACCATTTTTTGAACATTCATGAATACCCTTAGACAATAGTCATAATGAGTGAAAACCGGCCTCTCTTCAACATAGAACCAATTTCCATCGGCTCTCATGGCAACATCACGCTTAATTAGGTATTCGTACAGACTAGCGTAAATAAACGACTTCTATATCAATTAATTACATTCCGTAATCGTCATATTAAACTATTTGTTATCCACTTCTGAGTCACCTTACACAATAATATGTGTAAATGGGAACTGGTCTCTTTTCAGCAAAGAAACCATTTCCATCTGTGCTTACTTCTATACACAGAGTATGTGTAATAAATTAAAAGGATATGACATTTAAGAAGGAAATAAGGATAATAATTTAACCTATATCAATGAATAAATGTGAATTTTCTCGTCATTTTTTTATTTTCAGAGCACTTATAAAACAATGTGCATCGTTTTTGCAATCTTCTTTTATAAATTTATTATTATTTATTTTATTACATTTGATACTAAATCACGCAAAACAAAGAAATAATTTTGTCACAGAAACTACTACTCGGAAAAAGAAACATTTAAATGTATTCCCTAAATATGCCTTAAACATAATTATTCATAAAGGTACGGAAAGCTACTTACTGAAACATAGGGTCAATAAGCAAAGAAAATATAACTCTCACGTAAAAACAGTAATTCAAAAGGTATTTTAAATTGCAAACTATTTGGTTTGATATAAAAAATGACCACTAAAACGTAATGGACAATTTACAACCATTATTTAATCCACTTCAAACGAAATTAATTGGATTGCAGAGGTATACATATTTTTGGGAAATCGGCGGAATTTCATCGTTTCCAT